TCAGTTGTACATTGGCCACGTGCAAAGCGGCAAGTTAATTCTGACATAATTGAATGAGTCAATTAGTACTTGACATCTGGGAATCTCGGTTTGGGAAATTGGGGGGGAAGAGGGGAAATGGTTTTGACAGGGAAAACAAATATGAGTTGTCCCCCTCTTTAGTGACTGTTCAAGGTTACAATGGCAGCGAAAAAATGGACTTGTGACCATTTTTTACATGTATGACCATTGCAGCATGCCCGTGATCACGTGATCAAAATTCGGGTGCTTGGCAACTGACTCGTTTTTATGATGGTGGCCGTGTCCTGGGGTCATGTGATCCCCTTTTGCGACCTTCTGACAAGCAAAGACAAAGGGGAAACCAGGTTCACTTCACAACCGTGTTACTAGCTTAACAACTGCGGCAAAAAAAGTTGCAAAACAGGGCAAAGCTCAGTTAACAAATGTCTCACCCTACTAATTTAACAACTGCAGTGGTTCCCTTCACTTAGCAACAGAAACTTTGGGCTCATAAGTCAAGGACTATCTGTATTTATGTCTTTATGGTTTACCGGTTCTTCGGGTTTTATTTTCAATCGTTTTATTGTATGTTGCTCAGAGTCACATTTATGAGGCAGGCGGCCATATAAATTTGATAAATAAACAAATCAAGCTGGCAAGCTTGCTGCCGTGCTGAAGAAGGAAACAGCAACAGCTCTGGCCTAGACTATAAAATAGGCTTAGCATCATTTGGGGATAAGGGGGGGGGGGAGAACAAGTCTATAGCAGAGATCAAGAATGACTTCTGATCCCAGAGGTTTTACAAGAGCAGCAACAAATAGGATTTCATTCCTTTCCTCCGTTAAGCTAGTGCAATCCCTGGACTGCAGCAGTCAATAATAAATTTGTCCATTCTCAGATTGGTTATCCTGGTGTTCAGAGTTGAGACGTGCGAGAGATCATCTGCTTACACTCACAGGCACACATGTACACCCACATACAAATCGAATCCAATCTTTTTTACAGTCCTAGACCAACATGGGATGTCATGATCTCAGGAGGAACCTCATTCCAGAGGGTAGGTGCTGCAACAAAGAAGGAACGGTCCCTAGATCCCAAAAGATGGGACTGTTTGATCAAGGACTGTAGAAGAGAGACTGGCTGAGCCAGGGGGAGGAGTCAAGTAAGGAATCAGTTTAGAGTCTCTACGTAGTCACAAACAGGAGTGGAGTGGAGTGGAGTGGAGTGGAATGGAATGGAATAGAATAGAATAGAATAGAATAGAATAGAATAGAATAGAATAGAATAGAATAGAATAGAATAGAATAGAATAGAATAGATGCAATGGAGAATGGAATGGAATGGAATGGAATGGAATGGAATAGAATAGAATAGAATAGAATAGAATAGAATAGAATAGAATAGAATAGAATAGAATAGAATAGATGCAATGGGGAATGGAATGGAATGGAATGGAATGGAATGGAATGGAATGGAATAGAATAGAATAGAATAGAATAGAATAGAATAGAATAGAATAGAATAGAATAGAATAGAATAGAATAGAATACTTTCTTGACCAAATGTGTTTGATACATAAGGAATTTGTCTCCCATGCATAAATTCTCAGTTTACATGCAAAAAACAAATAATACAAACCATAATTATAAAGGATAATAATCATAATAATGATACCAAGAGGATGAAGTCCCACCTCTGCTGAATTCCCTTGAACCTTATCTAGGCTCACCCAAGCGCAAACCATCAGTCTGAGAAGATTCATGTATACAGGCTTAAGAAATAGAACAGTTAATTGAACTCTTCAAGCAGGGGGAACTGGCATTGGTCCACTCTGTTGACTCTTACTGGATGGACAGAACCAGCAGGAGACAGGAGGCCCTTCAGATAACATGGACTCTGTTGGAGATGACTAGGCTGAGCCCGAGAGAGGAGTCAAACGGGTCATGAGTTTTGAGTCCCTTTGCACTCACGAGAGATCTAACTCCAGCCCCCCTTGAATTCCATTGACTCTTCTCTACCACCAATTTGCTTTGACCATTAGTAGTTCAGATTCTTGCAGAGAGCTTCAGCTTGCAATAAATCCTTACATTCATTTGAACAGCTTGGATTTCCTGATTTCCATGCTTGACAGTCTCAGGTCGTAGTTTTGCCCTACGATCTATTAGAAAAATATTTTGAGAAGTGCATTTTTGCTCCATTTTTTATTTTATTTTATTTTATTTGACCACAAGAGCGTTTTATCTTGGTTTGGAAACAATTCAAGACCTCTCCCAAATCATCCTCTTCCAAAGATGGACCTTATAAATATTTTGGGTATCCTTGAAGAACACGAGAGGGTCAAAGAAGGACGCAATTGCTGACCGATAGACCTAATTATTTTCCTTTTCTAATCCGGACATTAATTTTGCGGTAATGGATGACGAGAAGAAGGATGGAGATGCCTCTGCTTTGTGATATTGCCTTCATAAAGCGAGCCATATTTCCTCCCCTTTTTATCGCTGAAAGGTTGCTAAAGATATAGGGTGTCTGTGCCTCATCCTTAACATAAATTTCACTCCATATTACTCATGGATTACAGACCGCTTAACGTCAATTCGTCATGGCCTTTCGTGGTAATAAATTCATCTTGTCTTTGTAATTGGGAAAGCTGTAAATAATAATAATCATAAAAAAAAGAATGACTCTGGGAGAGTTAAGGAGGAAGGCACCAACCACACATCATGTTCTTTGTGCCGTTGTCTGCTAGAAGGTGCTGTCTTCCCGAGTGTGTGCTGGGAGTCACAGCCAACAGCTTCCTTTTGTAGGAATTCATTAAAAAAACACTATTGCAGAATAACAGAGTTGGAAGGGACCTTGGAGGTCATCTACTCCAACCCCCTGCTCAGGCAGGAAACCCTATATCATTTCAGACACAAAGCTGTCCAGTCTCTAACACTCCTTATCCCCTTGTGAAAGAGGCTTCTGGGTTTTTTTTTTTCTTACAGGTAGTCCTCATCATACGGCCACAATTGAGCCCAAAATTTCTCTTGCTAAGTGAGAGAGTTGTTAAGTGAATTTTGCCTCATTGTACGACCTTTTTTGCCACAGTTATTAAGGGAATTACCTCAGTTGCTCAGTTAGTAGCCTGGTTGTTAAGTGAATCTGGCTGTCATGGTTACGACAGATGAAACTCTTCAAAGAACTTTGAGGCATTGTTTACCTTAAAGAATCTCTATTCAAGTAGCATAGCATCGGCACTAACATAATCGAAGCCAAAAACTGAATTCCCCCCCTCCTTGAGCACAATTCCCTCCTCCAATTAACAGTCATAAATCACATTCCCCAATTAGTTTAAAGTGCAGGCTTTCTCCTTCTTATCATCTCTTATTTCAATGACCTTGATTCTCACGCTAAGTTCAGTATTGTTATGTCTAGCTCAGGGGTAAGCAACCTCGGCTCTTTTATGACTCGTGGACTTCAACTCCCAGAATTCCTGAGTCAGCTGACTCAGGAATTCTGGGAGTTGAAATCCATGAGTCATAAAAGAGTCGAGGTTGCCTACCCCTGGTTTGGCTGCACATCCCCCCCTCTCCCCAGCATCATCTAGCTCTAAAAGCGAAAAGAAGAACATGGCTGCATCTCCATCTCTTGTCAATGCCAAAACATCCGATGTTAGCAGTGTTGACCCTGGCGTCCCCCGTTGAGTTGGCTTGTTAGAAGGTCGCAAAAGGGGATCACGTAACCCGGGACACGGTGACCGTCCTAAATACATGCCAATTTCCAAGCACACAATTTTTGCTCCCAGGACTATGGGGATGCTGTGACATTTGTAAGCGTAAGAACCAATCATAAGCCCCTTTTTTTCAAGGCGGCCATGACCATTGCTAATAAATGCCTGTAAGTCAAAGTCTATCTGTACACGCAGGAGAAACAGTCTTCCACCGGCCTCCTAAAAGCACAAGAACTTCTATTAATCTGGAACCCGATTTCGCTCGCCTGCTTAAAATAAATAAACGACACACTTGGAAGCATTCAAGTTTGGAAGTGTGGGCCGGACCGACTAGTTTAAATTTAAAAACAGCCCCCATCTCAGAGAATACAGCCCGAAGCGGACAAGCCATCCAGCGTTGCAAAAATGGTTCTGCAAGAACCATTTTTCCAAATTTATTTCGGGACTGGCATTTTCATGCGTAGCCCACTCTGCTCCTTTATTAACTCACTATAAATAAAACATTTAATTTTTTTTTTTAAAGCATTCCTCTGCTTTGACAATGCGTGGCTGGCCGTCTATCCAAATTTGCTTCTGGAGTTATTAAAATCCATCGCGGACCCGAATATACATAGAAGCTAAGCTGCCTGGTGGTGATCCACCAACACGCCCACCTCACAAGAACATCTCCTATACTTAGTGGGTCTAAAGCGGCTTCTTTTTCGATCTCTCTTCCTACGTTCATGGCTTCTGTTTTCGGGCACTGTTAAAACTTTTCTTGGGTTAACCACTCCATGGTAATTCCAGAAAAAGATGGGATGGGATCCAGTGGTGGGATTCAGCCAGTTCGCACCACTTTGGCAGAACCGGTAGCTAATTTTTTGTTGCCCGGGCCCGGAATGGACTTCCAGAAACGGCATCCACACAGAGAACCGGTTGTTCACATATTTGAATCCCACCACTCCTTCCTTCCTTCCTTCCTTCCTTCCTTCCTTCCTTCCTTTCTTCCTGTGGTGGGATTCAGCCGGTTTGCACCACTTTGGCAGAACCGGTAGCTAAATTTTTTGTTACCCAGGCCCAGAATGGACTTCCAGAAGCGGCATCCACACAGAGAACCGCTTGTTCACCTATTTGAATCCCACCCCTGGATGGGATGGGATGTTCTGTGCGCCTGGGTATATAGTCATGCTGGCCCATTGATAACAGAAGTATCTTCGGACAACATAGGCTCCCTCAGCTAAGAAACAGAGATGAGGACACCCCCCCCCCCAAGAGTTGGACACGACTGGGCAGGGAAAACCTTTATATTTACCTTTGCAACGTTTCTTAGGGGTGATTTTCCGTGGATTTCTGAGAGAGGATCTTTCAATTTGACTTGGAGATACTTCAGGTTGAACTCAAGATCATTCATGTTCAAGGCATGTGCTTTGTCACCAACTGACAAGCTTACAGATCTTTGTTGAGAACACGGGAAGCTGTTATTGGATCCAGCTCTTTATCCGTTGGTAATGTCTGCAAAAAACAAACACCAAACTCATAGACCTTCAAGGACCTCCTCCTCCTCCTCCTCCTCCTCCTCTCCCCCCAATCTCATTCCCTTCTAAGACCTATTTGGGTCATGTAACATCTGCAAGAAAGCTACCAAGCTCAGAGAGCATCAAGGACCCCATAATTTAACATTGAACTACAGGTATTCTATTCCATCGGGACCACCTATGGGTGTCATATGCTTCATAAAGCATGCAAATGGGGGAAAATCTGCCTGTAGGCCAAACTCTTTTTAGCAGCACTGATGATGTTACCTCGCTGGGTCATGAAACATCTGCAAGAAAACCACCAAACTCAGAGAACACCAAGGACCCCACAGTTCAACCCTGTTGAACCCCTAACATGTTGCACACAAAGGAACACCTGACACAAATGTAATGACCTCTAGAATGCCTTGGTGATACCTTTAAAAAAAAAAAACACACAGTCTTGTCCCAAATCATTAATTACCACCCAATCATCCGAAGCTTCATTTGATTGATATTCCTCTCCCCCTATTTATCTGGATTTTAGCTATTGGTCACATGAGAAATAGGGAAATGGCACAAAAAGATACATCTTTGATGCGTGACACATAGGCCTTCACCAAAACACCTCAGAGACCATCACAAAATCTATTTTTGTACGGTTCACTGTTAATGCCTTCAACCAAGCTCCCCCCCCCTCCAACTTTCTCTCTGCTTTGGCTCCAACTTTGAAAGGGGAGTGGGAGGGAGGGAGGGAGAGAGAGAGAGAAAGAGAGAGAGAGAGAGAGAGAGAGAGAGAGAGAGAGAGAGAGAGAGAGAGAGAGAGAGAGAGAGAGAGAGAGAGAGAGAGAGAGGAAGAAAAAGAGAGAGAGGAAGAGAGACACAGAGAGACACAGAGGGAGAGAGAGAGAGAGAGAGAGAGAGAGAGAGAGAGAGAGAGAGAGAGAGAGAGAGAGAGAGAGAGTTGCTTTCCAGCCATCCATCAATGCTCCTGAAAGAAACATCTACTAACCATCAGAAGGTATCGATCAAGCATCAATAAGTCATCAGAGCCATTGGCGAGCCATCAAATTAGAGAGGAAGGAGCTTTGACACAATGCTAAATCTATTTACGATATGATCAAGATGTGCCTGAAGGGGAAAAAAAATTATTGTTAATGTTTGTGGAAACTGTCAAACCACATTTTTGACTTAAGCAAAACAGTAAAGAAATGTTGATTATTTATTGCTCTCTGAAGGTTGTTAGGCTAATTTTGTTTAAATGACAATCCCCCGTCAGACCCCATTAAAGTTGTTTATTGATATTTCTATTGCGTTTCGTTTTACCCCACAGTCAAAGTGGTAGAAGCAACATAACGGGGTTCCTATCTGTAGTTGAGAGTTTGTTATTTTTTTTATTTATTTTAGTTTTAGGGATTGCTAATGCATTACAGTAGCTGGAGGACTGGGGCCTCTTTAATAACATTAGATTAACACTAAGAACATAAAATTGATAACGTTAATAACATTCAGCAATGCAAATAGGTTGTTTTTTTAATTAGGTGGTTGATTTAGAACAGCTCTGTCCCAAAACAAATAAATGTGTAAAAGCCACAAAAGCATTCAAGCCATCCTCAACTTAGGACGGTCATTGAGCCTTTGACAGTCATAAAGCAGATCATCACACAACCTTAATGACCTTTTTTTTAATGACAGCATCCTTAAGCTACTGCAGTAGTCATTAAACTAATCCATTGTTCACTAAGTTGAGCAAAGACCTAGAGACCAAAACATACAAAGAACGAAGAACGGTTGCAGGACTTGGGTTTGGACAGTCTAAAGAAAAGAAGAAATAGGGGAGACATGATAGCAGCGTTCCAGTATCTGAGGGGCTGCCACAAGGCAGAGGGGGTCAGGTTGTTTCCAGAGCCCCAGAAGGAAGGACGAGAAACAATGGTTAGAAACTGATCAAAGAGAGAAGCAACCTGGAATTAAGAAAAAAACTTCCTGACAGTGAGGACAATCAACCAGTGGAACAGCTTGCCTCCAGAAATTGTGGGTGCTCCATCAGTTTTCAAGAAGAGACTGGACAATCACCTGTTTGAGATGGTATAGGTTCTCCTGCTTGAGCAGAGGGCTGGATTTGAAGACCCTCAAGATCCCTTCCAGCTTCTATTCTACTCTACTCTACTCTACTCTACTCTACTCTACTCTACTCTACTCTACTCTACTCTACTCTATTCTACAATCTGTCTATTCTAATTCTATTCTATTCTGTTTTACAATCTGTCTATTCTATTCTATTCTATTCTATTCTATTCTATTCTATTCTATTCTATTCTATGGGGCATTTTTGCTAGAAACTGGAAGTAAATGTTAGTTTTTGGTAAAAAAAAAAAGTCATAAATTGGGGTCTCATGACTGTGGGATGTTAGAAATGACTGCAAATGCAGGCAAATTGCCGAGCATCCAAAATGCGATCACATGACCCATGGGGAGAGGATGGCTGTCAGAACTTCGGAACTGGGTCATAAATACTTCTCAGGGGATCCATCGGAACTTCAGTCCCTAAGCAACTGGTCGTAAGTGAAGGACTACCAATACATTTGGCCGCCTAAAGAAGGCTCCCGGCGAGACAGGCAGCAAATAAACTTAGCAAATAAGTAAACACACCATCGCACAAAATCTAACTTCTCTGTCTCTTTATCAAGTAAACGGAATATAACACCTATACCGGGGGCTTACAGGTCTGTGGGCTGATAGGATGTGATTCTCTGATAGCATCCAAGGTTTGAGCCCGAAATTGTAACGCCCGACTGAATTTAGCCACTATTTTAATTGCCTGCCGCATCCCCAAAGCAGGGTAACAGCATATTGACGGAAATCAAAACAAGCACCGATCTGCCGGTCTCGTCTGATCCCCCAGCCAGCAATGGAAGAGGGGTTTTTATGCAGCCAAAACGGGTGTCCAGGGAAAAGAGGAATAAAAACCGTACCAACTTTTAAGTACACGGTTCCCCATCTATGCCTCTTTATCAGATAACTTGTGCTTCTGAATGTTTTTTTTTTTTTTTTTTTTAGCTCTCTGGTGGTTTCCACTGTTCGCTCAGCAGCTTCCTGGCTTTGCACATCTGTCAAAAGCCGCAAATGCTGGCTGCTGCCTTCAAAAATCAGAGCCGGGCTTATTACGATTTTTATCTGCACCTCAACTCAATATTCTGTAGCTCCTGGAGCGCTCAATATAATCTGCACCAAATTCCTTCCTCGGGTGTACATAAGACGCATTTACAGCCTCCGGTGTTTTAAGAGGCCATTGCGTTGTAAGAAGAAAAAATATATAGAGATAGACTGTACATCCAGCTTTGTAGATTGAAGCAGAATTTGGTGGTGTTTCCATGTCTTGAAGACTGTTAAGGAGTTGAGGGCTCTAGACCAGTGAAGGGCACCAAACAAGTCTCTCGAACCCCACTGTAACCCTCTCAGCCTTCTTGGAGTAAAAGAGGCTGAAGAAGCTGGATCCAATTTTTCTTTTAGCTTTGGGGCAATTTAGGGGTGAAGCTTGCTCTTGGGGTTTTTTTGAAAGTAGAACGAGGAGGCCTGCATGGATCTAAATGACCACTAAAGGACAGCAAAGAGGTAGAGATTGCTGCATTACTTTGCTGCCATTGGGTGGCCATAGAGAGGTTTGCAAGCCAGATTTGGTAACTCAGAAGAAGGGAAGCTGTCTTAAGGACCCATTTGCCCATTCAAAAATCCACAAAATAAGAAAAGATGCCAGATGATGGACTTTGCCCACTCAGATCATTTAAACACATTCCCCACTTCATTCCTTCTGGACTTCTAGTTGGGGAAGAAACAGGATACGGATTCTCCAAGCCTCATTTTGCATCAACTGCCAACACAGAAGATGGCGTCAATTGCCAACATGGAAGATGGCACTATTTGAAAACAGAGAAGATGGCGTCAATTGCAAACACAGAAGAGGGTGTCAATTGCAAACACAGAAGAGGGTGTCAATTGCAATCGGAGAAGAGGGTGTCAATTGCAATCAGAGAAGAGGGTGTCAATTGCAATCAAAGAAGAGGGTGTCAATTACAAACTCAGAAGCTAGCGTTAACTGCAAACACAGAAGATGGTGCCAATTGCAAACCACACCAGAAACTCTGACGAGTAAAACTGAGCTCCCTGGTACTCTGGCATCCTCAAAACAGAAGGGATTAATCTTGGTGCGTTTTGTTTTCATTAGCAAATAATTCAGGCACATCCTTGTTAGTGCAGCCCGGCGCACACGGCCCAAGCAGTGCATTTCAGCTGAGATATGCTAATGATCCACTTGAGAACCAAATGCTGCTTTTCCTCCCTTATCATTTTTTTCCCCAGCTCTCATAACTTGAATGACTCTGTGTACAAAATATTTGCAAACAGGAGGGCGAGAACTGGGAAATCACTGCGCTGGCATTCAATGCATTATTGTTTTCTCCTAGTTGCTGTAGTTTTTGCTTGCTTGCTTGCTTGCTTGATAAAACGTGAATCAGGGCTGCTAAATTAGCCATTTTGCAAATAACTGATAAAGGCAAGAGAGGGATTAGCATCTCCCTGCTAATTCTGCATTTCAAAGATAAACAAGACAATGCAAATATTACCAATTAGACAGTGTTCAAAAGTAAACACTCCCGAGTATTGAGGAATATGGAAATGAGCTCAAAGCTGGAAGGTTGGGGGGGGGGGGAAGAAAGAGTCTTTAATCCTTTGGATTAAAACAAAGGGTATCATGCAATATTTGTCATACTTAGAAAACTCAGAAAGATTTAGACTGGGGATAATTGAGACAAGAAAATCTTCCATACGCGCTGGGAACGATCAATCTTGAGCAATAGTTCAGATATTGGTGGGATCCTTCCAAAACCCAAGAGTAAAGTTCACTAAATCTTTTTTTTGTAAACCAGCCAGGGTCACTGAAAGTGAGTGAGCGGCCACATAAATTCTCCAAATCAAATCAAATCAAAAAATAGTAATTGTCAAAAATTTAGCAGGGCGAGATCGCCTTAATCCCTACTTAAGGAGTTCGTGGAGGCATCTAGTCAGCCTTTAGATGACACAGAATGCTGAAATTGTTGAAGTATAGGGAGTCCTCGACTTATAAGCATTTGTTAAGTGACCGTTCAAAGTTAGAAAGGCGCTGATAAAAGTGGCTTCTGGCCAGTTTCCACCTAACGTTGCAGCATCTCCCTAATCATGTGGTCAACATTCAGACGCTTGGCAACTGACATGCACTTATGACAGTTGCCATGCCTAAATAAATGAAGACTGTGAGGTTCCTAAATTGGTTCTCAAGATTCTGTATGTTATCCCTTCTTCCTGGCATTAAAAACTGACATTCATGTTATATTGAGCGTTGATTCTTCCACCCTCATAGCCATCTGTCCGTCTATAGCCATTGTCTTATTTTGGAAAGGCATTTGTTTTAAACTAAATCGTTAACAATCTCGTTTTAAAATGTCCACGAGAATCCTACTTCCTTGCATGGGCTCCGCAATTAGGCAGCTGGTGGGCTCTGCGAACCCGACTTTAGCCTAGCATGTTGTCGGAATGCTGCTTTAGCCTGTCGAGCAGACTTCACAGTTGCCAAGAACGTTCTCTTTTCTATTTCCTATGGATTTAAAACACAATTGCTCATCGCTCAGAAATTCATTTCTCCTCCATCCTGCCACTGGAGTGGCTTAAGCCTGCACACGATTTGAATGCAAGCATCAGCGCTTGATAAAGGAGCTAGACTGTCTTGTGATAATATTCCTGGCACCCAAACACACACACCCTACACACACACACACACATACACAGAAAGAGGACCGTCACTGCTGGTCTGGAGATCTCTTTATCTCTCCTCTGATTTGTATATTGCGTGTTTCCTTTGCACATATAAATTACTCCCTTTCTGTCTCTGCTTTTCCCTTTGCTTTGCTCCTACAAGGTCATCGTGTCATTATCAAAACTGCATTCCGAGATAAAACAATTGGCAAGGGACTTCATTCATCCGTCTCCCGGCTTTGCAAAGGGAGCTGGTGTCATTTGAAAACATAATTTAATACCAAGAAGGGCTCAGAAGCCGGCATTATCTTCGGTGCCACTTTTAGCTATGAATCACTGCCTTTA